AGGAAGGAAGGAAGGAAGGAAGGAAGGAAGGAAGGAAGGAAGGAAGGAAGGAAGGAAGGAAGGGAGAAAGAAAATTATAACACCACTCTAAGCTGAATTGAACCTGCTAACGTATATACAGCGAAATAACCAATATTAGCACAAGACACTCCAAGACCAAGTTCTCAGTATAAAGGAAATTTATTTGCCCCAGAGGGACAAAGGGCAGGAAATAAGAGACAAAGACAGGAGACAGAAGAGGGGAAAGGGACAAGGGAGAAAGGGAAGAGAAATTTGTCCCCGAGGAACAAAGGACAGCCTCTGGACAGAGAGGAGACAGACATGGCCCATAGGTAAATGGTGGTTTATAAAGGTAAAAGGGAAACCCCTTGTTAGGATAAGGTGTTTAATTCTGATTGGACAGGTTAATTAGGTGAACCAAAAAGGGCTTTTGATAGCTGGAACTTGGTGGTCAGCCTCAGGAGGAGGAAGTGGCCAAATTGGGGAAGAGACCTTGATGGCTGGCTTTAGGAATGTAATCTAATGGTTTAGCAAGGCAAAGGGGATGGGGATGGGCAAAGCCTGCCAGAGCCATGGTTGCCATGCTCATGTGGACTCACTCTGTGGACCAGCTCATGAAGGGCTGTTAGAGCCCTTCATGTGGGTGTTGTCTTGATTGGTTTTTGTCAACTTGATACAAACCTAGACATATCTAGGAAGAGGGGATATTAATTGAGAAGATGTCTCCATCCAGATTGCCTGCAGAGCATTTTCTTGATTAATGGTTGATGCAGGAGGGCCTAGCCTACTGTGGACACTGCCACCCCTGGGCAGGTGGTCCTGGGTTGTGTAGGAAAGCAAGCTGAACAAGCCATCGAGGTAAGCCAGCAAGCAGTGGTCTAAACGAGTTGGCCAGCTCTTCTCCAGGAAACCTGTGAGATAACCTCAGTCCCTCTGTCCTCTTCCTCAGACTGGGACACTGACATTCAGTCCAATCTGATGCTGAGTCCTTGTAATGTCCTTTCAGCTCTGAGATTTCCTTCTTGCTCTTTGTGACAATCCCACTTCTTGCTGAATTTCTCTCTGATTGGTCATTGGTTATCTATTTATTTGTGAATTCTTTCTTTTTACCATGCCATGAATTCCCTTTTTCCTTTAACATGCTTATGATGCCTCATTAGACATCTCCCTTCTGAATCCAACTTTGTTTCTTCTCAGGGTCAGGTTGGACTAACTGTTCCTTTTTTCTCCCATAGATCCTGCTTTTCTGTTTGTCTATCTAGTAACCTTTCTGTGAAGCATCAGCAATAACACACTATAAAATCCCTACCTACATTCAACACTGGAGAGATGACTCAATGGTTAAGAGCATTGGCTGTTCTTCCAGAGGACCCAGGTTCAATTCCAAGAACCTACACAGCAGCTCATAACTATCTATAACTCCAGTTCCAAGGGATCCAACTCCCTCTTCCTACCTCCTTGGGCACTGCATGCATGTGGTACACAGACATACACACAGGCAAAACACCCATGCACATAAAAATACTTTTAAAGAAATATATAAAAGCCCTATTATAAATAAATAAATAAATAATATAAAAGCCCTGCATTCTATAGCCTTTGCAAAGTATACTTTGTCCGAGACTGGGTTGCATGCTCCTCAGTTCTGACCCTCGTGTTACTGTGTTGGGGTTCTCGGGTGGTAAGTGAGGCTCCAGTAAAGCTACTCACTATGACTCTATGCAAGGGGGCTAAAGTCCTTATGAGGGCAGGGAGACTGACCATGTAAAGCACTCTGTCCCCCACTTCCATGACCACCAGCCAGGAAGAGAGTCCCTGCCTGAAGGTGGACTTTCTTGTGTCTATGCGTGTGTACATATGTGTACATTCATGTGGAGGCCAAAGGTCAATATCAGGTGTCTTCATCATTCACTCCCCACCGTTTTTGATACAGGGTTGCTAATTGAACCTGGAGCCCAACAAGTTGGCCAAATAGGCTAGCCAACAAGCCTCAGAGATCCTGCTGTCCCCATCCCCCCAGCTCTGGGACTACAGGTATGCAGCAGTGTCTGGTACTTTTTGACATGGGCTACGAGGCACTAAATCCATGTCTGCATGCTTGCATGTCCGTGCTTTACTGGCTGAGCCGTGTCCCAGCCCTGAAAACGAACTTCTGGCCCATGATTGTGGACTAGGGGTCAAGCTCCAGAACTGTGCAATGATGAACAGTGGCTGGAGTCCACAGTCTGGAGCATCTGTCAGGAGCCGGAAGTTCAACCTCACGCTAAGCTCCTGGGACTTGGTGCAGATGTAGACCAGAAGATCTGAAGGAAACCACAACACTCCCTGTGCCCTTAGCACATCAGAACCTCATCTCAGAATGCCTCTTCTGAGGTTTCTCTGGCACTTGGTTCAGGATTTGAGGTGGGCAAGGGGTGTAGAGTTTTCTCTTTGGGAGACTCTGTGATGTCTCACTCAGATGCCTGGGGGTCAGCAACATCTCTCCACTCCAGCTGGGCTGGTTCTCCCCCATCCCATACTGTTTCACCCCAGGAACCACGTTCCTGCTTCCATCTTGGGGCTGCTGCTCCCAGGAAGCAGAACCCATTTGCCCCAAGGGGCTGGTGCTCACATCACCCCACATTCCTGTCCTTTCTGCCCTCTAGCTGCTGCAGCAAGGAAAAGAGGCAAGGTAAGCAGACAGTGGCTTTAGACCGTGGAGGGAGAGACACCGTGATGGGCACTGAGTACAGCTGGGAGGAAGACTCGGAGCTGACTGGGAGGGGCCAGCAGGGGACTAGAGAGCAGCCACATCCAGGAGGACCTTGGAAACAGTAGCCGGGGATTTGAACTCCACACAGCAGGGAGCCTTAGGAAAATACAGGCAGCAAAGGGGTCTGTTCCTCTTCCTCTGCCATTTGAGAGACCTACTGAGACCACAAGAGAAGGTTTGCTCTTGTCTCTGCTTGTGGCCTGCTAGGGCCGCTTCCAGATCCTAAGAGGACAGAAGACTGCCCCAGAGTGAGGATGGGGCTGTGGGCCTGAATCAGTCGGTGGCACCTGATCTGTTATGGGGTATGTCCATTGCCGAGTATTCATTTTAAAAAAAAATGTGCCGGGCGGTGGTGGCGCACGCCTTTAATCCCAGTACTCGGGAGGCAGAGCCAGGTGGATCTCTGTGAGTTTGAGGCCAGCCTGGTCTACCAAGTGAGTCCCAGGAAAGGCGCAAAGCTACACAGAGAAACCCTTTTTGGAAAAACCAAAAAAAAAAAAAAAAAAAAAAATGTAATGCATTTGCATTCACGTGCGTCACTGTGGACAGAAACCAAGGTGATCAATCACAGGTGTGCCCCTACCTCCCATCTGTCACCACCCACCCTCAAAAAAGATGCTAGGCAGCATGTGGCAGCAAGGTTTATTTGTCACAGGTGCAAAGAACACCTTGGGTAGGGGCAGGGGAGGCCAGATGGGCAGAGCTATTGCTTCCTCCTCAGATCATTCCCTGCAGGCAAAACAACAGAGCTCAGGGCCATGTGTGGCCTCCAGACCCTGAGGCACTGGTCAAGGTCACAGGCTAAGGGCTTGGCATCCTAGCTACCTGGCTTTAGCAAAGTACTAGTTCCCTGAGCCTTGATTTCTCTATCTGTAAAATGAGTCTTATTGCCAATATCTAAGGGATAGGTTGTGGAAATGAGGTCATGCTGGTGATGGACCAGCACAGTGCTGGATATACAGAAACCTAAGACATCTAACAGGGTCTATATCTCCCCTTGACCCACCCCCTGATAGCACCTGAAGGGACAGACAGGGTCAATCAGCAGTTCTGAGCATCCCTGCTGGGCAGAACATTGAGGACAAGGGGCCTGCCATGCAGCTCTGTCCCAATATGCACACCCACACCTACCCACACACTCCCTCCCTCCTAGGACAGGCTGACAGCTTGGGCTCATATTCCCAACTACATTCTTTTCCAAACAACAAAACAGATGCCTCTCTGGAACTGTCAAGCAATGCTATTATTGGATGTCCTCATCAGAGGAGAGGTGTATACACACACACACACACACACACACACACACACACACACCACCAGGATCAGGATCGACTATCAGAACACAGGGCCTGCAGTATAGAATGGAGGATGTGGGCTTACCTTATTCAGGACTTTGGTCCACCTCCCTGCAGGACAGAGCAGCATGAAGTGGAGGCAGGGGGGTGTCAGACCCCACCACAGAGGCCTCCCCCAGCTGCTGAGGCCAGAGGAAAAACAGCCCAGGGAGGATAACTGAGTCCTCCTGATCCTTGGGCAGCCTGTGTTCTGGACCTTGGATCTGTCTGCTCCAGTAAAGTGATCAAATACACTACCCAGCTGCCCACAGATACCAGGCCGGTGGAAAGCTCCTACCCTCATCAATGTGATAGAAAGGACATGGGAAAGAGTCCCCACCCAGTCTGGGTGCCCAGCACAGTCCCAGCTTAGTTCGGAGACTCACCGATTGCAATGTGTTCACACAGGTTACTGTAGACAAAAACCAAATGATGAGACAAGGAAGGGAGGGACAGGGCAGGCCCAGGTCTTTGCCCATTCCTGGGAGGCCCTGACTCGGGCGAGGCCTACTCACAGTCATGCTTGTTAACGATTATGTTTGATGTGGTGAACCCATTCTCCAAGGCTAACTTCTGGAACTTGCTCAGGACTTTCTCATCGTTGTCCAGACTCCGTCCTGCAGGTGAGTATGGACTGAACTTCTATAGTTACAGACTTTCTCCTCCCATCCTGATGTAGCCCTCGGATACTCTCCTATCCCCACCCCAGGGTGGGAAGACAATGAGATGAGGTATCGGAGGGGTGACACCCACCCCACGCCCAGACGAGTCCAGGCTGGACTTACTGTACAGTTTCATGGCCCGGTAGGCTGTCTCAGCTACTGGAGAAGAGATATCTACGATGGCATAGGTCTGGTAGTCAGTGGCCACAATAGAAACTTCTTTGCTTCCTGGGAACAGAGCAAAATTCTAGACGCCCTCCCACTTGCTTGTCCAGGGCTCTCAGTTCCCAGCTCTGCTTCTGCCTAGCACATTTGCACACACACAAGCATGTACTCGAAACACACATGGGCAGCCTGGAATGGGCCTGGAGAGTCTGAAGAGGAGGGCAGGGATTCCCTACTGACTCAGATAAATGAACGCTGAATCACATCTAGGATTTCAGAGAGGAAGCCACCAAAACCCTGGCAAAGATGGGGGCTGAGGACAGCAGCAGCAGGGGCTCCTGACATCTGGGCATGACACCCTGCATGTACCAAGCAGCCCTGCACCGAGAGCTTCAGTCAGGATACACCAAACAACACCCCCAGTGAGGCAGGGTCCCCCACATCCAGAACAGTGGTAAGTGCACACTAAGAATAAGGCAAAGTGCCTCAGAGAGGCCACCACACCCACCAAAGCTGGGACAGCGTCCTTGCCTGATATTTTGGTGACCTTGAATTTCCCTGGATGGTCTGCTTGAACGGCCCCAGCCTTCTCCACCACACAGTGGTCCCCACTATGAAGACAAGAAGGTAGGTCAGCCTGTAATCCCAACACTGGGAGGGGAGGGGAGCTGAGTCAAGAGGATTGCAGTTTGATGCCCAAGTCATCCTGGGCTATGGAGACTGACAAAAGGGGGAAAACAGTGTGTCCTCAGTGGCCGAGATGGGTCTCTTAGGCCTGTTTGCACATGGGACTGATCCCTGTGGACATCCCTGAGCATATAGTCCAAGGCAGCCTGGGCTATACAGACAAAGAGGCAAATGAAGGAGAATAAAGAAAGGAAGGAGACTCCCAGCTTCCTGCCTACCAGGCCTTACACTGTATGCTCTGAGGTGGTGGGCATGGTGGGAACCCAGGAGTCCAGAGACCAGCCAGACGTGTCACGTGTCTTAATATCTGCTGAGCCTATGACCCCAGAGAGCGGGACCCTTAGCCAGCGGCCACCCAGGGAGAAGGAGATGGAGTAGCAAGAGGAACTGCTGTGGAAATATGCCCCCGGTGACTCCCGAGGAACCGCTTACCTGTGCCCACAGACACACAAAGGATCAAGAGACACACCCTGAGGGTCAGGGCTGTACATAAATCTGAGGGACATAGTCTCTGGGGAACAGGGTCACACTTGTGTCTGAAGGACACAGTTTGAGGAACAGGAACAAACATACCTCAGAGACCCACTCTCTGCCCACTGAGGGACACAGCCTGAGAAAGATGGACACACTGGCATGAGGAACACATTCAGGAGCGGGGGAAACACATGTGTGAGCGAAAGGCTTTCTGAAGTAAAGGGACACACATTTAGGGGAGAACCTCTTGAAAAACAGGAGGATATTCACGACTGAGAAACACACTCGGTGGTACAGGGACACAAATATTGAGGGACACACTCAGGAGCGGACACACGTGTGTGAGGTACGCAGTCTCTGAGGAACATGGTCACTCACACCTGAAGAACACAACCTTTTTTTTTTCTTTTTTCTTTTTTTTTTTTTTTTTTTTCCCGAGACAGGGTTTCTATGTGTAGCTTTGGTGCCTTTCCTGGAACTCACTCTGTAGACCAGGCTGGCCTCGAACTCACAGAGATCTGCCTGGCTTTGTCTTCTGAGTGCTGGGATTAAAGGTGTGCGCCACCACCGCCCAGCTGAAGAACGCAATCTTGAGGTGAAGAGACATGCTTGCGTCTGGAGGACATACGCTCTGAGCATCGGGGACACACTCAGAGCTGAAGGACACATTCTGACACAAACACACCCGGGACACCCACAAAAGTGGAAGGGCGCACATTTGAAGGTATACTCCGAGAGGCATGGTTACATACATCTGAGGACATGCTCCCTGGGATCAAACCCACGCATGACTGAGGGAGACAGTCTCCGAGGAGCAGAAGCACATACATAGCTGAGGGCCGGCCACTCTGATGAAATGACACACTTTGAGGGACACTCTAGAACAGGGACATGCACACGTCCCTGTGGAAGTGACCTGGCCTGAAGGTGTCTACTGGCCAATAGCTACGTGGGAACCTGGGCACTGCTGGGCTGTGTGCCAGGATGGAGAGACGACTTGGGTCAGCCTTGCCTCGCTTCTCCCCAGGCCTTGCCGTCTGTCAGTCAGAAGTTGGCACATTTCATAAACTAAAGAATTGGACCTTAAAGCTGTCTGGTCCGTTACTTGCTTTGCTCAGAGTCCAGGGTGGCAATCCAGAGGCCAAACTCCTATCATGATTGTAGAGCTGTAGGCCACTCCATAAACTGTCTTAGTAGACACCGGGACACCCAGGAGGCCAAAGATGTCTGGTCCCATCTGAAACAGTTGCCCCCTCATCCCTCTCTACAGCTGAGGCTGAGGCACAGACATGGGTCGATGTATCTTTGGGGAAAGCAGAGAGCACTGTCCAGGCTACCCCAGCTTTCCTCTAGGGCCATAATCAAGGCCTCAACTCACTTGTAATAGGCGGTGGTCAGAGCCAGAAGGTTCTCTTCCAGGTTGACTGTCATGGCTCCCAACTTCTGTTCCTTGTGCGCTAAGTCATGTGTATCCACCATGGAGGCAAAGGCAATCTCATACCAGAGGCCTAAAAACTGGGAGACAGTAGTTAGAGGAAGGAACTGCCCGGGTGTACCAGCATTCAGGATTTGGGACCCTGAGAGCCATTCTACATCCCTCCCTTCCAAGGGATGCAGCAGTCTGGAAAGTTCTAGGGGTGAAGGGCACCCAAGATGGTAGAATATTGAAGGCTGACTCTGGGCAGGGCCCAACCCCCACGGAACTTGGCTCACTATAACTGTGACTACCTTGTTTATGTCGAAGTCCTTCAGTTCTGTACCCTGTAAGTCAGATGCCAGCCCCACGCACAGCACCACACACAGCCCCAGCAGGGTGAAGAGCATGTTGCTCTCCATGTGCCTAGCAGTTGGGTACCTGCTCTCAACCACAGGAAGCCACAGCCTTTGGCTCAGAGCCTCTGAACTTTATATCCTTTCCTGTGGGTGCTTGGAATAGGCATAGAAGGTTCTCATTAGGTGGGCTGGAAGTAGACTGTGAAACCAGCCAGGTGGATAGCAGGGCCTCAGGGGACCGCCTCCAGGGGACACAGATCTTGTCTCTGGGTGTCCACTCACGCATGCATCAATCCACTCAGCAACTGAACTGCTCCTTCCCAGCTGTGTGTAGGTGACAGAGCAAGTGTTCCCCCAAGGCCCCTCGGCAGGCTTTGGTCATAGGCGCAGAGAAGATGAAGACTTGCTAGGGTCAGAACCCTGTCAACTGGAAATCCAGGCAATGATCCAGGCAACAGAGTCCTGGGAATGGCGGAGGCAGGACGGAGGATACTGGAGGATACATGCATGGTTGAATCTGTGCAGCTTCGTGCTCAGCAGGCTGAGAATCTTAAGGAGTGGACCAGAATATCGTGACCCCCTCCAGCCCCATCCTATCTTACTGAGTACTTTAAAGAAGCCACAGCAATCAGCCAAGGGCCACCAGACGAGCAGCCAACACGCTTGGGCTAAAGCCAGCCCTGCTGCCCTGGCATTATCTTTACCCGCAAACTTGTTTTTGTGGGCGAGACCACAATCTCCAGATTTCAGGTGAAGAGCAAGACACATAGGGCCAAGCCACCTCGGAAGCCTCCACAGCCAAGAGATAGTCCCTTGTGATATCACCCCCTAGGGAAAGCCCAGGCCCTGACCCTGCAAGGCACAGACAAGACAGAGGACTATTGGCAGCTACAGCCGGCGTTCAAATTATAAGGAGTGGGAACCAGGAGACAGGGGGAACAGTTAAGGATTATAAAAATGACCCAGGGCTCAGAGCCCTGCAGGAAGGAATGGCTAATGCACACAGAGGCAATGGCCATTTGGATCTCCTGGTAGCCCAGCTAGTGGACTGATGCACCCTCTTTCTTCCTGACAGAAGCCACAAGCCGGTGTCCCCGGCATACCTCTTGAACATCAGTCACCAGCTCTTCTGGTAAAGTCAGGCAGCCATTAGCGCTGTGGCCCAGAGCCCTTCCCATCTCAGCAAGCCCCACATTAGCAGCCAGTGACCACCTCAAATCTCCCTGACCCCTCCAACCTCAGAAGAACGTCAGGTCTTCAGAACTGAGCTATCCCGATGCTAACGATCTCATCCTAGAAACTGCGGTTTGCAAGCAATCACTGAAGGCCAACAAAGGGAACTCAAGGAGCCTCCAGCACCAGGAGTTTTGGGTGGGGTGATGCCCACGGGTAACTGCAAGGGTCTGTATTCTTAGAGAATCTCTGTGTTCAAAACAATGCTCAGGGGAGATGGAAAGCATTTTCCCTGCTTTTTGAACAAATAAAGAACCTCTCCAGGGTCGGGCAGTGGTGGCACCCACCTTGAATCCCAGCACTTGGGAGGCAGAGGCAGGTAGATCTCTGTGAGTTCGAGGCCAGCCTGGGCTACAGAGTGAGATCCAGGACAGGCACCAAAGCTATACAGAGAAACCTTGTCTTGAAAAACAAACAAAAAAAAAAAAGCCGGGCGGTGGTGGCGCACGCCTTTAATTCCAGCACTCGGGAGGCAGAGCCAGGTGGATCTCTGTGAGTTTGAGGCCAGCCTGGACTACCGAGTGAGTTCCAGGAAAGGCGCAAAGCTACACAGAGAAACCCTGTCTCAAAAAAAACAAAAACAAAACAAAACAAAAAAGAACCCCTCCAGGATCCTGCTAACTGCACATCGCCCCGCCTATCCTTTCACAAGACACACACAGTGGCCACTGCAACACCTTTGGCCATCTCCAGAATGTAGCACCAGGTGCCGGGTACTGGCCTCAGGAAAGGGGCTCTGGTATGGACTCAATTCTGTCCTCTGAGTGTCAGCTGCCCATCTGCCCAGTGGGGACAAGGCACCTCAGAGGGATGTGTCAAGGAGAGGTGTAGAATTAGGCAGCCAACAAAGTGGGCGGTGGGAAGGTTAGAGGTTCCATCACAGCCAGAGCCACACATTTCCATGTGTCGTCACTGGAGGCTCTGCCTCCAGCATGGCCTTGGCCATCTGGCAGCCTTTTTGCAAAGCGTTGCTCTGCTACCCCTCTGCCCAGATGCCCGCAAAGCTCCAGACCTGCTCTCACTTTCGCTGATAGCATCCTGGGGTGTCACCAGTATTCACGACCAGAATGGACACTGTTCCAGAATGAGGAGGGGGCTGTGGGACCCACTGCCTAGGGTAGCATGAATGGAGTAGGGCAGGGCAAGTGGAGCAGGACCTTTTCACTTGGGAGTCTAGGACTGGCTGCCCTATGTGTAAGGTGCATCCTTCACCAAGCATTCACCAAGAATGCAGACTTGTCTCCTCCACCTGGGCCAGAGAACCGTTCCTGCCACCCCTTTCCCTGCCCCCAGGAAAGATGCTGGGCAGCTTTTGGCAGCAGGGTTTATTTGAAGGAGATGCAGGAGGCCCTTCAGGCAGGAGCAGGAGAGGCCAGGTAGGTGGGGCTGCAGCCGCAGGCCTGGGCAGCAGCTATTCAGACCAGTCCCTGCAGGCAGAACAGCAGAGCTTAGGGCCATGTGTGGCCTTCAGGGACCCTGAGACGCTGGTACCCCAGCTGCCTGGCTTTGGCAAAGCACTGGTTCCCTGAGCCTTGGAGTCTCTATCTGCAAAATGGAGTTATAGAGTCAACCTCTGGGGCCTGAGCTGTGACAGTGAGGTTGTATAGGTAGCAGGTTAGCATGGTGTTAGACACAGGAAACCCCAAGATATCCAGCAGAGCTGAACTCCCCCATCCCACCAACTGGCGGAACATGAAGGGGCAGAGCTGGCCCAAAGGCCTGCACAGCCCTGCTGGACAGAACAATACAGACAAGGGACCTCTCTTGTCCAACTTAGTTCTGTCCCACACCCAAGGGCCCAGCATGACAGCTTGGGGTCACATGGCAGACTGTTCTTTCCAAACTACAGATGCATCTGAAGCTGCCCATCAGGGCTGTTGGTTGTCCTGATCAGTGGAGGGATGGATGACCCCTCCTTTCCAGGACCAGTAGTGCCAGCAGGGGCTCCATGAGGGCCAGGCTGCAATGTAGACCAAGGGTAGTAGGCTCACCTCTTTCAAGAGCTCAGCACATCTCCCTGTGGGATGGGACAGCACGTGGTACAGTCAGGAGGGCATCAGACCCCATAACAGGGGCCCGGTCCAGCCTCCTCCCCAAGGTGATGTGCTCACCATGTCGGGCCAGCATGTAAAGGCCTCGGTCTGCTGTCATTTCCCAAAACCTCCAGAAGCCTGGCTCATCCTCAGTCTCAAGACTCCGGGCTGTGGGGCACAGCAGGGCTGGGCTGGCAGCCTGAAGGAAGGCAGCCACAGGGCTCTGCCCCTCAACCCAGCCTGAGCTTACTGAAATACTTGAGCACATGGAAGTTTCTGCCTTGCCAGAGCAGGGACAACTTCAGGATGGCGTAGTGCTCATAGTCTGTGTCCAGCACGTAGATCTTCCTCTGGCCTTCAGGAGTCAGTGGCAGGGTTAGGGAGCCTTGCTCAAACCTGGGGGCTGACCTTGAAGGCTGGGTCTGCAGACTCTAACTCCTTTCTGTTTCTGCCTAGTGCTGGGACCTGCCTGTGACATCCTGGGAAGATAACTTCTCAAGGTCAATCCAGTTCACTAGTAGAGATGAGGGGCCTGGAGTCCGGGGCGTGAGAACCCCAGGAAGGGCACAGAGAGCCTCCAGGCCAGGGGGAGATAGCATCCAGGGTCAGGCAGCTGCAACTTTAGCAAGGAGGCAACAGTACTTACCAGGAAAAGCAAATTCCCCCACAATGTTTCTTTCTGAACCCATGGATGTTTCTGTCACACAGCTCCCTGAGCTGGAAAGCAACCGTGTTTGTTAAGAACTTGCCAGCCTGCGTTCCACCCGATGGGCACATCTTTGAGTGGGGCCTACCTTCAGAAAGGGTGCTGGCAAACAAGGAACATCCTGGAGCCTAGGACCCATGGGGAAGGGGCCATGCATGGGGCAGGGCTGCCCCAACCTCTCACCTTCAAGGAGTCAGCCAGCTACTACCTGCACATTCTTATCAATGAATAAGGCTTTATCTTAAGCCCTTGCCTATATTTTGGCAGAAATGCAGCTCTAGGAGCCTGAGATCTAGCTTTCTCTGGGGTTGGAGGGCCCAAGCCGGTGGATACAGGGAAGGCTAGTCCACATGCTGATGATCTCATCACTACAAGTGGTACAGCCCGGACTGTGTTCAACTACATATGTCTCTTCCTTCCCCGTGGGTCACATCCCCAAATGAGCCAGGCCTCTTACCTGTTATACACAGCCTTCACGGTGATGTTCCTCCCACTGAAGGTGAGGAACAAACCCTCTACCCTCTTTTGAGCCTTCAGCACCAGGTTCTGGTCCGAAGTCACAGCCACTTCCTTCCAGAATCCTGCAATCTAGAGAACAGAACTAGAGCTATCCTTAGCTCTGAGCAGCCGAGCTAAACTGGGTTTGCAGCTCCTGGGCTACAGAGGGTATTTCAGGGATCCTCAGGCAGGGAGTGGGTGGGCTCTGGGAGGCCAATAGATAGTCATGAGCCTGGGAGGCCACTTGTCCTTAGCTGAGTTTTCCTTCCCAAGGGACCTTTCAGGACACCAGACAGAAATGTCCCTTCCAGAAGATCCTGACACAAGGCTGGTCTGCCAGGAGACCTTTCCAGCAGGTGTGTGGGGAGCAAGCATCCAGGCCTACAACTAGCACACTGAATACAGGAGCATGGCTCTACCAACCTCAACTTCCCTGGGATCATGGTTTCCCATGACAGCAATGTTCCCAGAGCACAGGGTATCACCTGAAACTTTTAGAAACTGGTTACTGTTACAAGAGAAAGAATCTGTGTCCCCCCCAAAGCTGACCCCTCTGAGTTTACAATGTGAGTTTGCTGGTCTCAGGAAGGATCCAGGGCATAGAAAGAGGAATCTAAGCAAACAAGCTGTCCACTCTGGAGAAGTCTTCTGGCTCCACAGTGCAGAGTGATAGGGTCATAGGAACCCTATGAACCAGGGAGCAGGAAGGGACCCCAAAGCTGTAAATCACCAAGGACCCAGGTGACCAGCCTGAGGACAGCAGCTCCTGCCTCGGCACAGGTGGCACATGAGAGAACTCAGGGAGGGGAGAAGGCCATGGAGCTCAGAGCCTCACCAGGGCCCTCCACTGCCTGCCCTCTTGGGGATGGTCCTGCCCTGCCAGCTATCCTGTAGCCAAGGAGGAGTTGGATGGAAGCGGAGCGAGACTTGCAATGGCTATCCACTCTGTTCCCTCCCTGCCCACCTTCCCATCAAGCCCCAGTAGTGCCTGCAAGGTAAGAAGAAAGAGGCACCTTCTCTGGTACTAGGTCCACACTCGTAGACTCCGCCTGCAGCCCGCACACCAGGAAGAGTCCCCAGACGGTGCTCAGCAGCCTGGCTTCCATCTCAGGGCCTGCCTTGTGGCTTCTGCTTATGGAGGGCACAGGCTTATATTTGGAGGGTGTGCAAGCATGTGCAACCACCCAGAGAATGTCATTGGGCAAAGCGGGCTGCCAGCTGCTCAGAGACTCAGACTCAGACTCACTCTGCATCAACCCACATCCAGAGAGGGTTGGACCGAGCTAAGACGGCAGTCAAGCTGCCTCCATCCTGGTATTTGGACAGCGATGGACCATGCCCTGAGACTGCACAAACCAACCCCAGCACCACCCTCTGTGTGGCGACCTGGGCAAGCTACTTTATCTCAGTTTCCCCATTTGTAACAGTATATTTTAAAACAATTGCAAAATATAGAACTGGGCATGGAGCTCTGGGTCCCCCCCCCCCAACCTCACTTCCTGCACCATCTTGTGCTCCTGGACCACACTCCACTCTGCCTATGACCTCTCTTGGCTGCAAGCTTCCAGGAAGCCCTAGAGAGTAACACAACTTGAGTGTGTGTGTGTGTGTGTGTGTGTGTGTGTGTGTGTGTTCTTGTTGGGGGAAAGGTGTGTACATATTCACATGAGTGTGGAAGCCAAAGGTCAACCTCAGGTGGTGTTCCTTGGGTACCATTTACTTTGTGTTTTGTTTTGTTTTGGTTGGTTGATTAGTTAGTTCATTGGTTATTTGGTTGGGTAGTTAGTTAGTTCGTTCATCAGTTGGTTAGTTGGTTGGTTGGTTAGTTAGTTAGATCATTGGTTGGTTGGTTGGTTAGTTAGTTAGATCATTGGTTGGTTGGTTGGTTGGTTGGTCGGTCGGTCTTAGTCTTTGAGATAGTCTCTCACTAACCTGGAGCTTGCTGAGTAGTCCAGGCTGCCGAGCCATTGACCCCCAGAGATCCACCTATCTCCGTTCTCCAAGCATTGCACCACGTGATTTCAAATACACACCACCATGCCTGGCTTCTTACCTGGGTTCTGAGGAAAGCATTTTATCAACTGAGCCATCATCCCAGACCCAATGACATAGTTTCTAGGGCCACTGAGAATTTTTTAAGGCAATTTTTGTTTTCAATAACAACTTTATTAGTGATTGATATTAAAGCCTCTCACGCTCTGGGAAAAAAAATATAAAACTGGTACTCCCAAAAAGGCTTGGTCTCGTTCAAGACCCAACTCTCTAGCTCACAGACTGTACAGCAGAGGGGCCCCAGGCCCCCCTAACTAACTAACTAACTAACTAATTAACCAGCTGATGAACTAACTAACCAACCAAATAACCGATGAACTAACTAACCAAACAAACAAACAAACAACTCTACCCAGGTGGGTATCCCTCATCCTGCAGGAGTGGTCTCCAATCTTTAGGACCTGGGCAGCTCACAGGGAGGTCACAGCTACTGAAGCCCACACTCCAGAGGGAACCAGGCTAGAGAAGACACTAGGGTGGGCTGCTGGGGAAGTGTAAGGGATGAGTTAGGAGAGGAAGCACGCTGGGTAACACAAGGAACCATCCAAAGACCTTGGGACATCAGGAGGGAAGCTGAGGACCTACTGGTCCCAGCAACAGGCTGACAAGCCCGGACCCCTGGGGACACAGAGATGGGTTTGGCTGGCAGGAGTGGGAAAAAGGGAAGTGGAGTGGGTGGCATCTGGTTCTCTGGATGACCAGGACAGGATGAGGGCAGCACCTGTGCGGGCTGATTACTTCTGGTTCTTCTGTTTGAGGACCACAGACACCAATGAGCAATGGACCAGAACTCCAGCACCTTCCGGATACTCACACCTGGCCCTTCAAGTATGAGAAGTAGACCATTAAAAGAATGGGGGTTCTGTGACGTGAAGAAAACAGCAGTGATGGTCCCTGGGAAGGGACCCCTGTACCCCACCTCTCATTCAAGAGCAATACAGAGCCTACACCATGGGGCCTGAGCCCGGATTTGTCTGTCATGTGACCTTGAATAATTTGCCCAGCCTCTGTGCGTCAGTGTCTTAATCTACATGTGTCCAGGAGGTCTGTCATGGAATACACATGACAGCTAGTCAAGCAAGGTCTAGGAGCACACTGGCCACTGTCCCAACCCATTTCTCAGGCTCCCAGAGGTCCAAACCATTTGCCCAAGATCACAGCAGTGGTGGGAAGCAAAACCCAGACAAGCCAACTCCATGGCCCTCCTGCTGTTCCAGCTCCAGGTCCTACATCCTACCAGTGAGACCCAAAGGAGCCTGGTAGCCAGGACCCATGTTTACAAGGCACCTCAGTTTCACCAAAGACACTGTGAACTCATGGATGCCACATATGCTATGCTCAATTTTCCCTGTGGATGCAGCAACCTCCCTGCACCAAATTTAAATAAAACCTCCTGCTCCCTCTCCCAGGAGAACCCTAAGTGGCCAGAGTCCACTTCAGTCTCCCCAGGGAGGGATCAAGACAGGGCTCACTGTGCCCTGCCCAAGGGCGTTTCCAAAGAGTCAAGGAGCCATGGGGTTCCTAAGGTCTTGGTGAGACTGACTGCTCCTGAAGTTTGTGGAATATTTCCTTACATTGTGTGAATATATGTCACTGTGATTTGTTTAATAAAAAAAATCTAACTGGCCAATAGCTGGACAGAATAATGTTAGGGGGAGAGCCAAACAGAGAATACTGGGAGGAAGAAAGGCAGAGTCGGGTGTCACAAGCAGACATAGAGAGACGCAAGATGGGCATGCCACACTGAGAAAAGGTACCAAGCCACATGGCAAAGCATAAATAAGAAATACGGGTTAATTTAAATGTAAGAGTTAGCTAGTAACAAGCCTGAGCTATTGGCCAAGCATTTATAAATAATACTAAGTTTCTGAGCAGTTATTTGGGAGTGGCCACCAGCACAGGAAAATTCTACCTACAGGGACTGGCTGTTCCTACACAAAAAGGGCACAAACACTCCATCATCACTCCCTGACAAATGTCCTTGCTACTCCCCACAAGCTAAGCCCTGCCCCCAAGGCTGTCAACCCACAAAAACAAGGAACGATAACTGTCACCAAAGCTTCCACAAACCTGCGAACACCTCATGCACACACTGTTGCTTCTGTTTCTTCTCCCAGACTAAAGATGCCTCTCCATGGCACCTGCCCAGAGACCTCAAAGACCCACCACACTTCTGAGTCCCTCACTCTTACAGGACTAGTAACCCCTGGCTCTGCCAGGCCCTGGGCAGGGGGCCCAAAGAGACAGGAAAATGACAGAGTGATCTGGCATTGATTCTCTCTCCTTATATTTTCAAAACCACCTGGTGATGGGGGCTGAAGTAGGCTCAGCAGGGCTGTTTAGCTCCATGGGAAGTCAAAACAGCCCCTGGGTTAAGCAGCCTGGGAGAAGAGAATAATCAGAGGCCTACGAGGACTGGAAAAGTACCAAGATATAGAGAACTAGGAGGGTAGGAAAATAACAAGAGAGGGCTACACATTTGAAGAAACACCACAAACGTCTCTCCCCACCATACCAGGACAATCCATAAGGGTGTCACCTCCCGCCCCCTAGATGCGGGTAATTTTCACACATTTACAAGTCATCTACTATTTCTGGTTTTGTGAGTGCCAAAAGTGTTAGCAATGAGCTTGGATAGGAACTTGGCAGCTTTCTGCTGTGGTTTGGTTGGGTATGTCTCCCCAAGAACCTGCCTGCATCAAGGTCCCAAGGGCTTCTAGTCCAACTCTGTAGTGGGGCAGCAAATGGGGAGCTGGCAGTTATGCCATCATGGGGGTTTGGGGAACAGAATGATACAATTGCAGAATAAGGTGCAAGCCTTGACTAAGTGAAGCCCAAAGGCTAAGAAGACATGGGGTACACTGGATTGAACAGTATGCCCCATCCAGAACCTCTGAATGACAGCCAGGCAGTGGTGGCGCACGCCTTTAATCCCAGCACTCAGGAGGCAGAGACAGGCGGATCTCTGTGAGTCTGAAGCCAGCCTGGTCTACAGAGTGAGTTCTAGGACAACCAGAGCTGTCACACAGAGAAACCCTGTCTCAAAAAAGCAGCAATACAAAACAAACAAACAAAAACGGAACCTCTGAATGATGTCTTACTGGAAGACGAGGTTTCTGCAGACATATTGGTTAGGGATCTCAGATGGGATCATCCTAAGGTTAGGGTGGCCCTAATCAGGTGGGCATCCTTACAGAAGAAATTGTTCAGACGCAGACAGGCAGGGGAAAGAGGCAGCTCCTAGAGGGATGCAGCCAAGACTGAAGCCGCCCAGGACAGGGGGCACACCGGAAGCTGGGAGGGGCCCAGGCAAGAGACCTCTCCCAGGCTCCATATACCTGGATTCCCGACTTCAGCTTCCTGGACTAGGAGAGAATTCTTTCTGTCTCTTTGCCCTGGCTTATGGAGGTGGCCCCAGGAAACGAGGGCGGCTTCTTCCACAAGACACGTCTAAGCTAAAGCCATAAGCATGAGGCTCGACCGGCAGAAGGGACGGCAGATTTCAGAGATGAGATGAAGGCACCAGAGGTCTCGCTATCCCAAAGCTCAGCAGAGAACTCACCCTGCACTCGGCCGGGAAAGTGTTGACTGGTCACTCGGGATGCATGTTACACAGCCTCTCCTCATTTCGTGCAAGGTCCTAAGGTCCTAAGCCCTAGCTCCTTGAATATCTTTCCCTGAAGCTTTCCCACCAGCCCCCGGCTCTCATCTTTCCATTTGGGGAAGTGGGGGAAATTAAAGTAGAATCAGCTTCAGTCTGGGGGCCCAGGTGGGGAGGCTTACCAAGAAAAGAGGAAAGGGTTCCGGCCCTAAAGAGGAGCACTGCTGTGTTTGGGTTGTCTGGTCCTCAGGGACCCCTCCCAGCAAACCCTTCCTGGTCAACAGCTGAGAGGAGATACCCCTGCTGGACTCTAACGCCCACCTCCACCTACCGCCCACCATCCCTGTCCTAGCCAGGCTGTTCCAGATTGATGAGATGGGGACATGGAAAGGGCGGAGCAAGTTCCGAGGGGTGCGATGTGGGTCAGTCCCGAGCACGACCTAAAAGGGGTAA